GGGGGAGGGGAGCAATTAATTCTGCCGCTTATTTTATGTTTAGGGGAGTCCAAGAAAGTCCTTTTTGCAGGCTTAACAAAACAAGGTAATTAATTAATATCCATAATTTTATTAAACTAATAAATCGGGAAAGGGGTAAAATATAAAAACGAAAAGAAGAACTATTATTTTCTTCTCAAATCCGTTTTTTTTAAAAGCATAATCGAAAAGTTAGGCAAAAGTCCATGTAACCAATTAGAAGGACACGTAGTGAAAGTTTGTTATTCCTTTGCAATTTCAATGCCAATTGAATTTAATCTTAGTTTAGTTATAATTTAAACTTTTTAATAATAAACTAAAAATATGTATATATAGTAACTTGCGTGTGAATAAATTTAAATCATGATTTTGCTTCTTATAATTAGCCATAGTAGTAAATTTGGCGAGAGAATATACCTTTGGACATCTTTTTTTTTTTAATAACTAAAAAATAAAAACCAAAAAAATAGTTCAGCAAATTCTCAACCTTAAAAAGCCAACGGAAAAAACGGCTCCTCAGTCAATTATATTAGAAACCTCGAGGCCCCCGCCAAAGAAAAACCAAAAGGGTGAAAGAAAACAGAGAGCTAATAATATTCTCCATCAAATCTTCCTCTCTATTTCTCTCTATCTTTTCTTTTTTCCCTGAATCCAATCAAGGGAAAAACAGAAATAATCAACACCCCCTTTTCCTCCATTTTTCTTCTGCAAATTAAACTCCTCCAATTCTTTCTTTGGAAAAAAAAAACAAAGATGGGTTGTGGGGAATCAAAGCATGCAGTTGCAACAGAAAACACCACCATTCCAAAGAACAAGAGATCATTGAGTTCTAAATCCAACTCCACAAAGGCTGAATCCCAAGAAAATGTCAAGATAATTGAAAATGGAGAATCTGGGGTTGCAGAAACTGTAAAAACAGCTGAAAAAGTGGAGGCTGCAGATGTAATTGCACCAAAAGTTGTGGCTAAGGAAGAAGCCAAGGTGGAAATGGAAAAAGTGAAAGAGGAGTTGAAAACAGAAGGGGTTGTTGTTGAAAAGAAAGAAGAAAAAGTTGTTGTACAATCTCAACCTGAGGAGAAGAAGAAAATTGGAAATGAAAAAACAACCCCTGCTGTTGTTGCTGCTGCTGATGTCGTAGAGAAGAAAGAATCAGCTGAAGAGATCAAAGCAGAAGAGAAAACCGGTATGTTAATTGTCACCTTGTAGTTTTATGTGATCTGTAGGAAAAAAAGAAACTTTTTTTGCTTCCAAAATTCAAGAAATTCATTTTATGATTTTAAATTGTTTCCTATGGTTTAAAGTTGGGAGCAACGGCAAAGTTGTCTCCCGTTGACCTATAGGGCACGGGTTCGAGCCGTGGAAACACATAGGGTAGGTTCTCTATATTATACTCCTTGGGTGCGGCCCTTTCTTGCACCTTGTATTGAACGCGGGATACCTTGTGTATCGGGCTGCCATTTTTGCCTCCTATGGTTTAAAATGCACAAATATTTCGTATTTACATAGGGTTTGGCAAAGGACTGCAATTCAATGATGTGATTTAGACCGGATAGGTCATACGAAGACAATTTTACCGTTGCTTCAAGACTCTCTTTCTGCACTTTAGTTTCATTATAGTAAGATTTTATTGATTAACCCTAAAGAATAAGATTTTTTATTGGTGTTAAGATTAAGGCAGTATAGGTTTTGCAGGCCTACATAGCATAGCAAAATTGTGCTTTACCTCAACAAGGGGAAGACAATGGATTATGTTTGACTAAAAATTGAACTTGTTTATCTCCTTTCTTTCTTTTATTCCCCCTTGTTGATGTTAACATGCACATCTTTTTAACTCATAGAGGAGACCATTAAGCCAACTGAAGAAGAGAAAGAGAAGGAAGAAGTTACTACTACTGCTTCTGAGGCCAAAGATGCTGCTAAACCAGAGACAGAGGAAAAGCCAAAAGAGGTATGAGAATTCTCAGATTCCCATTATTGAACCATAAAAATGTTAGAACTCCTTAACAACAACAACAACAACAACCCAGTGGGATCCTACAAGTGGGGTCTGGGGAGGGCAGTGCATACGCATACCTTACTCCTACTCCGGAGGAGTAGAAAGGCTGTTTCCGATAGACCCTCGGCTAAAGAAGATGAAAAGAGACAGTGGCACAGTAATATCATAGGAAGCAAGAAAGAAAGAAAGAAAAATAGCATCAGCAACGTAATAACCAGAAAATAAAGAGAAAGCAATAACAATAAGCAATAACAATGGCACAATACTAAACCCCTTAACAAATATTTCAGAAATAAAGTTCTTGTGCTAACAAAATTTTGTTCTTCAAAATGTCTTATTCCCATATTCATAATGTTAGCAGTTGGCCAGTTGTTGATTGAAAAAATTCTTCTTTTTTTTTTTTTGGATTTTGCAGGAGAATGCAACTGAAGCATCAGCAACTACAGATTCGAAAACAGATTGAGAATGCAGAGATGGGAGTATCAAAAAGGGCTGTTTACTAGTTTAATCCTTGATTTTTAAAGCCTGTTCTAATTTCCAGTATTCAGTACACATATTTGTTCTGTTTTCGGATTGGCTGATATACTACTCTGTTCTTCTTGTCCCTTTTCACCAAAATCTACTTCTATTCGGTATTATGATTGGAATTTCTTTAATTTGTTGTTAGAGCTTGTGACTGCAAATGGCTGATCATTCCCATACTTTTTTTCTTGAGTTATTAATACGTTGGGAAAAACTCATAATTTTGTTCTGTTTGGTCTCCTTGACATTATCAAGAAGAACCATCAACCCTTTATAAAATTAAATATTGTTTCCTTCATTCCTTTTTATATAATTCTTATTTATCTGAATATGAAATTTAAGATGTTAATATGATCTATAGATCATGTGAGTGCCGGTCAAGGAACTGAAGTTTGTTTGATATAGAAAAATACCACGTCAATTATTATTAAAATTTAGATACTTTAATGAATTTAAATTCTAGAAGCTAAAAGGTATATAAAAATGGAACAAGCTAACATTTTTTGAGGCATAAAAAAAATGACCCAAAAAAAATGTCATATACATGAAGTTGTATCGACTTATTTAAAATAGGAAATTTTACACCCTATAGAAAAGCTTAGTACCCTATTTATTTTAAATAAATACCATTTTAAAATATTACATCATATAGATACCTTTTATCCTTTATAGCAAAATATCTAATTATAGTTACATTCTACATTTAAGGTACCATATATGCTAAATAATATTTTTCTCTCTCCGTTTTAGTCTTTTCTCTCACATAATCACAGTAAATCTTACTAACCACGTTCTCTCTCTTTTTACATACATTTTACTCTCTTCTCCCACAAACCCACGATTCATACCTCTTCTCCCACCCAAATTCTCTAGGTCTCCGCCATTATCACTCCCCATTTCTTTTTTCTCTAAAATCACTGTTTTAGAGCCGATACAAGTGCTTAGGGTAAGTTTAATTCTTAGATTTTATCCAAGGTTTTATTGATTTCTCTTTTCTCCCAGTAAAGCTGTAAAGATCCTCAATGGAATACGACGGCACCGGAGGCGGTTTTACCTCCAGCAGCGACGGCGACGATGCCTCTGAAACTCACCGGAAAAAGTCGTTTCTATCGGCACACAATGCACCAAATTCAAAGGCTTGAAGCGTAAGATACCGCTAACTTCAGAAACACAATATGTGTCAATATGTCCAGCAGTGGCCTTTAAACATTTGGATAAGAAGATAAACAATAAATTGGGGCTGACAATAAAACTTTCGTATAGCTAGGTTCGAAATCTGCTATCGACGAGACGACATTAGGGTTACTCTTGAACAAACATGACGGAGTTTGGGGCTGAGCAACTTGAAGAGTCTATTACCTTTTTTTCATTGTATTTCAATGTATCTCGATGTATTCGATGTATTTCAATGTATCTCGATGTATTCGATGTATTTCATTGTATTCATTGTCTTTTTTTATTATATTTTAATGTATCCTGTTGTATTCCATGTATTTCATTGTATTCACTGTCTCGCTATATTTCATGAATGTATTCATATGTTTTTTCAATTAATATAATTTATGTATTCAGATGTATTATATAATTTCTCTAAAGATTGCTATGTTTTTGGGGTATTTTTCGGTTGAGAATCTTTTTTATAACTGAAAATACAAAATTTGTGCGTTATAATTGAGTTTGTTGAGTTATATTAGGAGTCTATTATATTAATTGATTCACTTTCCGTTTTAAAAATAGTGTAATACCCTATTTCACGCGGTGAATACAGTTGAATATAATAACCTGTCCAGCTGTAATCCCATGTTTTACTCCATGAATACAGTCGAATACACTCGAATACAACAATTGATTAGCTGGACTTCCCTGATTCACGCCTATTTTTGCTATTGTATTCATGAATACAATAGCTTAAATACATCAAATACATCTTATAACCACACAAAAGGTATCTATAATCCGTAATATAGCAAATAATATTTATAGATGGCTAATTACTACTAAAAGATAGTGCTTTATGAAAATTTCTTTAAAATATTGCTGGCTAAACTCTCCCATCCCTTGTCCCCGCCCAGAGAAAGAAACTAAACCGTAGGAATAGATAAAATAGGTGTTTTAGACTCGGGCATTCCAACTAGGGGTGGCAAACGGGTCGGGTCGATATGGGGCGGGTAAAAACGGGTAATAAAAAATCGTACATCCGACCCGACCCATATTTAACACGAATAAAAAACGGGTTAACCGACAAATAATATAGGTAACCATATTGTCCATGGCTTTTTGAATATGATCATTTTTCGAAGAATTTCTAATCTCTCAAACTTGAGGAATCCCTAATTTGAGATTTTATAAATGTAAAATTTAAACCCTTCAGTTATCCATTTTCTAAATTGATAATATGATTCTTATTTATATTTGACCCGTTTTTAAAAAGTTCATTATCCAACTCATTATTTAATAGATAATATCGACAATTAAATATTTTCTTTTAACCATTTTGGCACCATTAATTCCAACCGCCAAATCTTGAAATAGATGCTCAAATAAAAAAACACGGCACTCCCTTAAGCAAACAAAATAAGAGCCACGAGCTTTAGGAATTGGAGAGCATCATTCGCCTATACCACAACTTTCAGTGATTGGAAATTCAATTTTGCCTTTTCCTAAGGAGCAGATAGCTGCTTCAAAGAATTAACAGAATATATTATCATAATATGATTGGTAAATACTTAAATCTCTTTTTATTTACATGGATGAGCTGTACAAAATAATAAAAACAAAGATTAAAAAAAGTTAACGAAAAGGAATTATATACATGACGTCCTCCCCAGCCAAGGATAAAACTGCACAATTAGCCTTGCTATACAATTTCCACTTTAAGCCTTAAGTTGGGAAACTCTGCTTCAACTCTCCCAGATTTTAGGGAGTCGGCTGGTAATCCCAGTGAAACTCTATACTGATCTCCCTTCCTCCCTAGACTCAACATTCATTCTCAAAACAGAAGAAGATATATCTCTGGAGAAGATGACATTTCCGTCGCTGTCTAATGTGCGGTACGCCGCTAGGCCATCATCCATCACGATTCTGCATCCCGCTGATACATCACATGCTAATTTTACACCATAATATCTTAAATGATCCGAAATACTGTTACCACTCACCGACCTACATAGATTTATCAAGTTAGAAAGCGACCAATAGATCTAGAAAAACTCATTATCAAGTTAGAAAGAGACCAATAGATCTAGAAAAACTCAGGCAGTCATCTATTACTGTGAAGATGATCAAGGAGGGGAAGCCGCACAATGGCGGAGCCACCTTTGTCCAAGTGGTGGCAAATTGACACCCCTTTGCCAGAATTACCTGTGTAACTAGGTAAAACTTCTTTTAATGGATATATATCATAATGTTCCACCCCCTTGGCTTCTTTGAGTGTTTACTTTTTTATATTTTGACTCCCCTTAGTGAAAATCCTGACTACGCCACTGCAGTCGTTAGGTGTTCCTTGTCATAATATTCTTTGATCTCAACTTACCAGCAAGTTATAGATTCCTTTCATTGTGACGTGGTTCATCAGTAAAATCACCACTACCATGTCATGTTCCATTTGAAGTTCTTTGGATAAACTTCAAAACAAAGAAACCACTTCTACTCAATTTTCTGCAGAGTGACTTGTCTCCTATCGAATATCAGTGTGTTCTATGGTTTCACTTGCTTGATTTGTTATCAACAAAAGAAGAGCGAGAGAGACTCTTCTCTCGCATCATCACAGTTTGGTGCGCTTGAGTACAGCTTTAAAACAAATCTTTTTAAATTTAGTGTTTAAGGTAACTTTCCTCTTTTTTCCAGAATTATTTTTCTTCTTTGATAAGTGAAATTCGTGTGATCTATTGGCATTTTTTACATGATGCTACATGATGCTTTATAGAGCGCAAGAGGGGTTTATTTTTATTGGGTAAGAGGGATTCAAGTGTGCCCTTAACTGGTTATGATTTGCCATAAACATTTTTCCACCGTTCAGATCGTAGTTTTACTTAATCTAACCAACATGCAAATCAATTTGAAGAAATCCTGTGCAAATATTTCTGCTGAGCACATGAAAGAGAAACTTTTACCTGCTGCAAGAAGGGTCCTCCCCGGAATTATCACAGACCTTTTCAACTGTATAAACTAGACTTCCAAAGCCAAGATCATAAAGCCAGACCTGCAATTTGAAGATCTCACAAGGTCAAAATATGCAACCAGAAACCAGGACAGCAAGAGGCACATGACTTGGATTTGTCTAAACTCTAAACATACTTTGAATGCTCTCAATGAGAAAGACTATCACCATGAGGCTTTATCGCAGCAAACATATTAATACAGAAATTGCAACTAAAAAAATATAGTCATTGACGCCCTTCCATTTTTAATAAACTCATTGATACCCTAATTTCAACGTACTCTAGTAGAGTATGAGATAAGTGAATAAAATAACCAATGGATAGAAAAATGATACTCCCTCCATTCTGTATTGTGTGACAATATTGAGTGAACACGGAATTAAATTTATTATCTGTAAGGATGGAAGTAGTAAAATGGTTGCTGAAAGTTGGTTAATGGAGAAATGATCACATCAGCATGTAAATTTGATAGCTAAATGAATTAAATTCTTGACAATAGAATTTTTAGAAAAGCCTGCAGCACTGAACTCGAGGCATTCTATGTAAAAGAACATAGCTGCCTCGTGCCTTGCAACCTTTGTGCACCTAATGACATTGTTAGACTTATGCAGTTCAAAAGCAAGCAGTAGAGGTATTGAGTTGCAGCAAAAGAACTTGCCTCTCTAGGGAAATGACGATAAGTTTTCTGAGGGAAATAGCGATAGTAAGGGGGCAAATGAGGCACAATGTCATGACCATTTGTAACACGAATTGTATTGGGCACCCGTTTACTATAGTAGGACGCAAAAGCAGCATTGCCAATTCGTGGTTGTCCAAAAGTCATAACCGAAATATTCTGGCATCCAAGATGAACCTGAATGAGAAGATAAATCCATTAACTGCAAGTTATAGATAATTTCTTGCATTATATCAAGAAGTCCACAAGAAACATGTAATATTCCTACTTTTGTTGAGAAAAATGCATGTGTCAGTTGGTAATGATAC